GGAGAGAGAGAGAGAGAGAGAGAGAGAGAGAGAGAGAGAGAGAAATGAGAGGATGACGCCCAATATTCATTTTCATTCATAATAATTCAATGAATTCAAATGAAAAACATATTTATTCGGGGTTTTTCATTTGATCATATCCACCATAAATAGAGAGAGAGAGAGATAGAGAATAAATAGATAACCAATATGAATGATTGAAGAAAAAAAAGTAATGACCATCATTCGATTCGATTCGATTCGATTAGAATCTCATTCCCATATCAATAATTGAATAATTATTATTCTTGTCGAATATTCTGTTGTTGTTGTTGTTGTTGAATCGACAGAATATAATCTCATCATAATCATCATTATCATTATCATTGTAAATATTCAATGAGATTGGCCCCATTGAACAACAACAACAACAACAACAAAGCGAAAACCAAACAGAAAAAAACGATAAGAAAACCAAAAAACCAAACTGAAAATTATAGGATATCATTTTTGTTTTTTGTTTTGTCATTAGAAAAACTATAAATGAATTATAGATTTGTTTCTGATTGTTATTGTCATTTGATATTAATGTAGACAATAGAAATGAGAATAGAGAGAATACAGAATACAGAATCGAAAATCAAAATTTTCTGAAACTTCTGAAATATATGACTGACTGACTAGGATTCTTGCGAAGAATTGGATCCAATTTTATTGATTCTGAATTGGAAATTTTTTAAAAAAGAAAGAAAAAAATTCCAATTCTAAGCTTCAATTTGAGAAAACGAATTCAGAAGAATCAGCAGAAAATTGACACTCACACCACGCTATCAATGTGTTTCTCAATTTTCGAAATTCTTGAATATTTAAAAACCAATTCTTTCGATTCCGGAGTTTTTTTATTCTCTCTCGTTTTTCATTCATTCTGTTTTCGTTTTTGTTTTAGTCAAAGAAGAAAAAAAAATTTAAATTCCATAGCACCATTGTGAAATGGAAATTAATTTTCAAAAAAAATGAAATGAAATGAAATGCAGTGAAGCCAACGTTTTTTTTCTTTGAAAAGTGAAAAATCTCTTGCGAAATGAATGAAATTTTTTTCCTTTTCACCATACTTTTCATTGGGAAAAAAACAATGTCAAAAGTTTGAAACAAAAAACAAAACAAAAAAAATCATCAAAGAAAATTTTCCCTAATGAAATTATCCGATAATTTATCATTTTGCAAGCTAGATTGCTTGGTTGTTGTCTGTCAGAAATCGTAATAGAAATGGCAAACAAAACGAGAAAAAAAATTGATTTTGTTTTCACGAAAATTCATTTTATTCTCAGCATTTTTTTTGGAAGACAAAAAAAACTGCTTTTGATTGGGATCTTGTATGGTGAACGGACAAAGAATCCAAAATGATCCTTCTGAGGCACCATTCTGAACAACGACGAAAAGAAGAATGAAGAAGAGAAAAAACATTCAAAAAAAACAAATAAACACGCAAAGCTATTAAGTTGTCATCATCGTTATGATAATCATACACAAATGTTGTCGAAACTTTGTGGGAAAAAAAATATTTGAAAAGAAGAACAAGAAGAAGAAAAAGAATTCTTAAGAAATAGAATTATTCTTCAAACTGGACATAACAAATTCCCAGAAGAACAGTTTTTTTTTCGGGAAAGAAAAAGAAAAATGATGATTTTCTTACAACTTTCTTTTCCTTTTTCGTCTATATGTAACCAATGTAACCAAATAAAACTAACAGAAAAACCAGACCCAAAACAAATGTGACCAACCAAAAAAACAACAACAAATTTTTTTTTTTTTTGTTGAAACAAGAATGGCCATTATCTTTATTATTTGTTTGTTGTTGTTTGGTTTACTTTTCTCACTTTGTTGTATAAACAACAACAACAACACTGTTTTTGTTAAGAATTTTATCAGAATAACCGTTGAGAAAGAATACGAAATGAAAAAAAAGAAAATTTTGTTTTTTTCTTCAAAATTTAAATTTCAAATACAGTTTTTGTGGAGAAAAAAGAACAGAAAAATTATAATTTGAATATTTTGGTAAAACTTACAACAAAAATACCCGCCGGTATTCGTATAGAAGGATTGGTGGTAAATTTTCGTTTTCGGTTTGTATTTTTTCAATTTCAAAAACAAGAACAAAACACAAATGTATTTTCAATCGTCTTGAAGATTAGGCAAGAAAAACGAAAACAAAACGAAAACAAACAATAAAAAGTTTTTTTTTGCAGGCAATTCTTGTAGATCAGCAACAAATAAACAAAAAAAAAACAGATAGAATTATGTATCAATAGAAAATGAAAATAAAGAAAAGAAGATAACATTCATTAAAATGTATTGAATAAAACTAAATATGGAAAAAAAATATATGATTATTATGTTAACAACCATCACCGACAAAACATAATGATCGAATGTGAAAATAAAATGCAAAAAATCAGAAAAAATGCAGATTTTCTTTCGAAAATTGTTCAGATAATGCTGCTATCGCATAGCAGGATTCTTCTTCTTTGAAAAACATTCGGTTCCTATATATCAATATGATACAGAGTCAAGTCAGCAAAATTGCGATTGCGCAATTTTTTTCGAAAATATTTTTTGAAAAAAAAAACTAAAAATGAAATGAAAAACAAAGATAAAAACAAAAAAATTCAAGTCTCGTTCAATTGTAATATTTTAGCGTTAGTTTTTTTGTTGTTGTTGTTGTTGTTATTCTCCATTTGATGATATTAATCCGATATAGGGAAAAAAGCAGAAAAGATATCGAATCGGTCCAGAAAAAAAAGAATGCGATAAATTCAATGAAAAAAATACCTAAAATTCTCACTAAAACAAAACGAAAAAAAAACATTTAATTAACATTCAGGTCACTTAGGTTGATGATGATGATCACACAGGGACAGAAAATACTTGAAAGCACCCTTTCAAGTATAGAAAATAAACATTGAAAGTGAATCACGATCTATTTTTGCAACAACAAAAAAAAAATTCCTGACTTGATTTCATGACTATTTCATGTCAACAGAACCAGAAAAAAAAGAGAAGAGAATAAAATCTGACAATGTAGAAATTCTATTCTACATATTGACACATAGGAAAAAAATAAAGCTAAAAATAAAAAAAGTGTTATGTAATTTATTTTTTTTTTGGATCTGGTTTGATCTGGTGTTGTCTCAAGAGAAACCAAAATGCAAAAGGTATCAATAAAAAAAAGAAAAATCTGAAAAAAATGGTAAGATTTGATCTTTAGAGATTGTGACACAGAGAGAAAAAAAGAAGGATTCATATTTATCTGGAAATATAAAAAACATCTGTGTGGTGTGTTTTATGCAAAAACTGACTAACTGAAAAATGGAAAAAAAAGAAGAAGAAAATATTTGTTTTTTATCTATAAAAAAATAGATTTCTATTTCAACCAACCAATAATCAAAATAGAAAGATCTTCAATCTATCTATCTATCTATAGATTCAGGTGTAGTAAAATGTTTATTCATTTTATTTCGTTTTTATTTATTTATGAATGATGATGATGATGATGTGACATCCATATGATTTTTTTATATATATTCATTCATGCAAATCAAATGGATATAAAAAAGCGATATTGGAGAAAAAAAAACGCAAATGCCGAATTGATTGATTGATTTTTCGTGTGTGTGTGTGTATGGTGTCTGAAAGATTTTGTTCGTGTTTTTAGTTCATTTTTTTTCAATGTTCAAAGTTTATATTCGACAGTCAATGATGGCTGAATCATAAAAAAAGAAGAAAAAAGGCGTCATTGTCGATTCTGTCTATCTGTTTAGTTTTTGGTTTAGTTTAGTTTGGTGGTAGTTTGACACATATCAAGATTAATTATCTCTCTCTCTCTCTCTCTCTCTCTCTCTCTCTTTTTTTGGCTGGACAATCTCCAAATTTAGTACATTAACTTTGTTTTTCCTATAGGAAAAAAACGAAGGTACAAGGTAAAAAACGTACAAGGTAAAAGAATTTAAAAATCGATAATAATAATAATGACGATAATAAGAAAAGAAAATTAATGGCGAAATAAATGATGAGTTTTCGCTCACTCTCTCTCTCTCCCTTATCTATACAAAAATAAAAGACAGATAGATGAGATAGAGAAAAGTTAAACATTAAAAAGTAATTTACACCCACACACACACACACACACAATGTGTTTGATAAAGGATTTTTCTTTCTATTGTTTGTTCGTTCTATCTTTCACTTCTTCTTCTTACCAGATAGATAGATAGATAGATTGCTAATCTATTTTCAAATGACAACAAACAGAACAAAAAAAAAATCGCAATATGCAATTAATTTTAGATTTATCCACTTGAAATGAATGGGACAAAAATTGACTTATTCAAGAATTTGAATTCAAACAAACAAAATCAAACAAACAACAACAGTAACGTCATCTATGTACAATGAATGGAAACACTTACTTTTTTCACGAGCTAATGCATCGGCTGTTGCTTGTTGTAAATCATTAATCGATAATAATGGCCGTGTACTTGCACAATCATAATCATTATCCATACCATCATAATAATTTGTTGTTGGATCTAATTCCGATATAGTTCTTGATGATAATGATGATGTTTGTTGTTTTGGTTTTGGTTTTGATGATGATGTTGGTGATGAAGATTTTTTGGCAAATTGTTTCGAATGAATATCTGGATGATTCGAATTATGATGTAGTAATGATGAAAAATGGCTATCATCATCTTCATCATTTTCACCATCATCTTCATTGTTGTTTTCAAAATTCATTGATAATGATGTTGGTGTTGATTTTGTTGATGTGGATTTCAATGATGAATTCATTAAAATCATTTCATTATCATTATTATTTTCATTATTATTAATCAACATTAATGTATTAGCTGTACCAATTGTTGTTGAATTGTAATTATCACTTGATTCATTTGATTGATTTGATTGATTTTTATAAATTAAAATCGATGATGATGATGATGATTTATCATCTGATTGATGGATTTTATTCGATTGATTTGTTGATGTTGAATAATCTTGTTTATTACCATTATCGCCACCATCACCACCACCATTATTATCCGCATCCGTTTGATTTTGTTGTTCGGTAAATTGTGTGGATGTTGTACAGCCCATTTTATCATCGGTCGAAAAAAAATTGACGATCCAAACCAAAAAGAATTTTCAACGAAAACAAAGAATTTCCAGAAGAAAAAAAATTGATCACAAAAACAAGAGAATCGAACGAATCGATCTGATCAAGGATCGATCCAATCGAACAAATAAATCATAATAATAATAATGAAAAGAAAAACGTTCGATTCTATTTCTACCGTTCCGTGGTTGCTTTGTTTTCTTTTTGTTTCTTTTTGCATTTTTTCTTTTTCGCTTCTTCAACTTTTCATTTTTGTTTTCCTATATTAATATTTAGTGTGTGGTTAGTTACATTTTTAACCATCATCGACAACAACAACAACAACACCAAACGATGACGACAATGAAAAACAATTATTTCCCGCTTTGTTTTGTCTTTGTTATCCAGAAACTGTTTCAAACAACAACAACAACAACAATAACCGGAGTGCAATTTTCATTTTTCTGGTTGCTACTTCTTTTCTTCTTTACTATACGATTCATTATTTACTGGTCAATTTTTATGAGTTTTGAATGATGAATTGATAAATAATGACAAGTTTTAAATTGAAAATTATGAACAAAAAGACAGTAATTCTTTTCTTCTGGTTGTTGCTATTGGTAACCGCAAACGAGCAGAATAAGAATGAGAAAAATCCTCGTGTATATATAGAATGCCGTAACGATTTACTGATTTAAAATCCAAAATCCAAATTTTTTGGGGGGGGGAAACATTCTCTCGAATGGAAAATCAAGAAAAAAAACCGAAAGAAAAATCAATTTTAAAAAAAACAAAATGAAAAACGAAAAAGAAACAAAAATTCTAATTCAACACTATTTTATCATAATAGGCGCCTATTTCTACACAATAAGGAATTTATATCCTTTTTTTTCTTTTGAATATACAGAGGGATAGTTGGATATGCAAAAACACACTCAACAAAGTATATCCAACACACACACACAAACATCAACATTCGAACATTGAGCCTGTGTATATGCAGTGTGTGTGTGTGTGTACAGTGTATGAATATGATAACAATCAATGTGGAAATGGTGGATCCATTATCATCATCATCATCATCATAGAACGAACAAACAAACAACATTCTCAACAACAACAAAAAATAAAGGAGAAGAAAACGTTTGTTGTTGTCGTCGTCGTCATCGCGCGTTGCTCACATTTTTTTTTCTCCTCATATTTTTCCTATTTCTTAATAAAGATTTTTTGTAACAATTTTTTTTTTGGGTGAAAAAAACAACAACAACAACGATATTCCTTTCCTCCTTCAACACCACCACACTTGTTTTCATCATCATCATCATCATCATTGAGATTAATTAATTTTAATATTTTTTTGGTTTTTTGGTTATTTTCGGGGAGAAAAAACAAAGTGTTTTCGAAATTGTTGGTGTGTGCATTATTCGAATCTTTTTACTGTTTTTTTTGTTTCGAAGAAAACTGATAATTTTTCTTTTTTTGTTTTTTGGAGGGGGTTTTTCGAACAAGTTTTTTTTTGTTTTTCGTTTTTTTTTTGGTCATATTTTTTGAAAATAAAGATTCTTTTTTTTCAATTGAATTTTCTGGGTAATTTTTTTCTCTCTCTCGTGAAACAAAGAATATTCTTTGGATTCGAAAGAGTATGTATATCTTGTTTGTATCGATGAAATTTGAAACTATTTTTTTTCGATTTTTGATTAATTTTTTTTTTGTTTTCGTTTTTCTAGTTTAACACTGAAAATCGTGCGAAAAAAGAAACAAACAAATTTTTCGATTAAAATAATATGATAATGTTGGCAGAAGTAGCCGATATCAATAATACAAAAACAACAACAACAACGAATAAAATGGAATCGGCTACAATTATGAATCAAACATCAACATCATCTTCAACAGTAACGAATAATTCAACAACAGCTCCAGCATCATCACCATCATCGAATGTTACTGGATCATCATCATCATTGATGAATGATCAACAATCAACAACATCGATACTATCGAATCTTGTACCAGGATCAGGTAGATCATCATTTCAATCACAGAATCAAACGATGATGATGAAAAATAATTTAATGATGATGGGTGGTGGTGGTAGTAGTGGTGGCCATCATCAACAACAACAACAACAAACCGGTGTCGAATTATTTGATTTAAATTCAACAATTTTATTTGATCAATTATCATTGAATACAAATTCAAAAAATTTATTTGGACAATCACAATATCAACAACAACAACCGCAACAACAACAACAATTTGGTCATAATTCAAATTTTAATATGATTGGTAATAATTATTTTCAACAACAACAGCCAACAAATCATCTTTATATGCAACAACAACAACAACAAGTTATGAATAAAATTGTACAACAACAACAACGAACATCGATTGGTTCACCATCATCATCACCATCAACAACAACATCATCATCAACGAATGGTTCAAAAATTCGTAAAACATCAACACCAACACCGATATCATCATCACAGAATAAATCACCATCAAAAACAATAATAAATCAACAATCACCAATTATAGGTGGAAATAAAAATCTATGGAAATCGAATAGTAATAATCAACAATCGATGACAAATGGAATATTTCATCCAAATCAATCATCATTATCATGGCTACAATCATCAACAACTGGAAAAGATAATGATAATTTACTTCAACAAATGTTTACAGATTTACATCAACAACAACAACAACAAAGATTTGTTGGTGGTAATAATAATAAATTTCAAAATTTATTAGCTAATGGTCATCATAATAATAATAATAATGATCCACATCATATAATGATTGATACAAATTTTGTTGGTGGTCTAACAACAAATCAACAATCAACAACATCTACATCATCATCATCACCATCGCAAACAACAATGCGTGATATTTATAATTCATTTGTTGATGCAACAGGAGTAAACAATTCTAATGATACAATGATTATTGGTTCAGTTGTTGATAATAGTAATCATCATCATCATCATCATTCAGGTATACCGACACCGAATTCAGTAACATCAACAATATCATCATCATGGACTGGTGGTGGTGTTGGTGGACATAATCATCATTGGCCTGATCAACAACAACAACATCGACCATCATCAACAACAACAACAAATCATAATCAACAAGAATCTAATGGTGGTGGTTTATTCAATGTATGGAATACAAATATAAGTGATCATTTAAATCAAATTCTTGGTCATCATTCTATGAATAATAATAATAATGGTAATCATAATAATAATCATCAATCGAATGATAATTCATCAATAATATGGTCAACTAATAATGAACATCAATGGATACGACAACAACAACAACAAAATAATAATAATAATAATAATGTTGATAATCTGATAATGCCAATATTATCATCATCATCATTATATGGATCAGTTTCAAATAATAATAATTCAATGCAGCCGAATAATATGAATGATTCTTTACAGCAACAACAACAACAAAGACAATCACAACAGCAATCAAAATTATTATTGGATTTTTATCATGATAATCTTAAGGTATTTTTGTTTCTGATTTCAACAGTTTTTAATTTCTTTGTTTTTCTTCTTCCCCTTCGTAGTATTTTATGAATGAAGATTTAAAATTAACAAAAACAATGTTGGATTTTTATATGGAAAATTTTTCATTACAACGATCAACAAATGTATCAACAACAACAACACAGCCAATAACATCATCATCAAGTTTAGAAATGGAACAAATTATTTTGAATCGTTTGCTTCAACAAAAATCTACATCATCGGATTTAAATCCAAATGATTCAAGTGGTTGGGATGAATTTGCTAATATTTATTATGATTTACAAGAAAATGAAAGACGTTTACAATATTTGGATAAAGTATTGATACAAACAAAATTTGAAGAATTGAAAAAATTATATTCATTATGGTTAATGAGTGCCATTCAATTATCATCATCAACAATGACAACAACAAATTCTGAATCTGATTCGATTACATCGAAATCATCATCATCATCATCATTGGAACCGAATGATAATAATAATCAAACAATACAAAATTATCAACAATTAATGACAAATGTACAAGATAAATTGAAACAATTACAAATGGATATAAAATTATTACAACAAGATAGTGGTTTACAATTTCAATCAACAATATTACGTTTATTAAAATATTATCGAAAATTATTCAATATGATACCGAAAGAAATATTATTGAATTTGCCGTTGATACAACAATTACATAATAATAAGGATGGTGGTGGTGGTAAAAATGTTGAAAATTTATCGATTGATGTTCATAGTGATGATGATGATAATGATGATGGTGATTATAATGATAATAATAATAATGATGGTAATAATAGTGATGAAGCATTCAGTGATGTTGATCAAGAATCCGAATCAAGTAGATCGATTGATTGTGTAAGTAATACAACAACCACGACAACAACAACAACAGCTGATCAAAGAAAACTTCAACATTCATATCGACAATTTTTATTACGTTTACGTTTATTATCAGCTAATCAACAGCATTTATATTCAACAAATATGGATTTAGAATTGAAAAAAGGTATGTTGTTTTTTTTTGGTTTGAAATGCATTCTTAATTGATTATTTGTTTTTTTACTGGAAAATAGATAAAAAGAATCGAAAAACAAGTTTGGCTACGAATTCAATGAATATTAATAATAATATCAATTCATTAAATGGTGGTAAAAATTGTGGTGGTAACAGTATTACTAATAATAATAATGATAATGATACTAATGCTGCTGCTGCTGTTGCTTCTGCAACCACTACAATAACATCGAATAAGAATAAAAATCAACAAAATAAATCAATAAAATCTTATCCACAAATTGTACGATTACGAATAGAACAATCATTATATTATCCATATTATTATCCAATATCGGCTGATAGTTTAAATATTCATGGACCAATAATGATTGTTTATAATCGACCAACAATAACAACAACAACAGCAACAAAATTATGTCAACGTATTAATATTGGTGGAAATATAACAACGCACAATTGGAATCTAATTGAATCGATTGAACAAGAAACAAATCGATCCGGTACGACCGGTACATTGGTATTGGAGCCAAAGTTTTCTGTTTCAATATCGGATTCGATTAATAATAATGATAATAATAATAATCATCAAAATGATTTGATAATAACACAGGATTCACAAGCAACAGTTCCAACATCAATGTTGAAATTAATTCACAAACTTCGAACATTGTTTCCAAATGTTCCAATGTAAGTTTTTGAAGAAAAAAAACGATTTGAATGATTTTTTTAAAATGAAAATTATTATTTAGAAATCAATTGGTCGAAATAATACGACAAGCAAAATATATTTTAATGAAACGATATAAAATTCAATATGGATTTTCTGGATTTAAAATGGGACAATTGATAAAATTTATTAGCGATTTAATTGTTGAAATGGTAAATATTATTGTTATTTAGTGAGAGAAATTATCTAAATTTTCAATTTACAATTCTCATCTCTCTCTCTATAGGGTATACAATCAGCACCACCATCACAATCAATCGATACAATATGTTCTTCAAATTCCAATAATAATAATCCAATGACTGCAGCCAAATTAATAAATAATTCAACAACAATATCAAATGCAACATCAAAAGGTGGAATATCTTGGTCAAAAATAGCCGCACAAAATAGTACAACATCATCATCATCGATACCATCGACACCTACTGTAAAAGATTTTGGTTGTGCATCATCATCATCATCGTCAATGTTGTCATCATCGTCAACAACAACAACAACAGCGAATATAACATCCGGTTTATTAATATCAACAACAACAGCACCAATCGGTGTAATATCACCAATAATGATGATGTCAAAACCAACACCATCATCAACACCATTATCATCAACATCATCATCATCATTAATATCGACTACATCGTTGACTGGCAATAATAATAATAATAATAATAATTTTGGTCTAAATAATCAATTTCAATCATTATCGATAAATTCAAATATAAATTTGATGAATAATATGAATAATCAATCATCATTTTCATCACCATCGTCATCATTGATGGCTGATAATAATAATAATAATAATGGTCAAAATATATTGAATAATCCTAATTGTGCCTTATGCCATAAAACAATGATGGCTCCAATGATAAATAATAATAGTGCAACAAGTTTAGCATCAAAACTTGGTGGTGGTGGTTTTCGTTATATGCCACATTGTAAACATTTATTTCATAAAGAGGTAAAAGAGTTATATTTTTTGTTTGGGATAAATTTTTTTCTAATTCTTTTTTACGCCATTTTATTTTTTTTTTTTAATTTAGTGTTTTGAAAGTATCCAATCAACGACATCATCAGCAGCAGCAGCAGCCGCAAATTCATCTTTTTCATCAATATTATTGAACAATACAAACATTACAAACATTGGCAATAATAATCATTTAAATACAAATTGTCCATTATGTGAAAAATTTGTATTACGTAAAGATGAATTTCCATCATTGAATTGATTATGAATCAATGAACGAATGAATGGATTATTTTAAAACAAACAAAATTCTTAATTCAATTTTCTCCTTTTTTCCCTTTACCTTGAATCTTTTTATTTTTTAAATTTTGATGATGATGATATGATATATATGAAATTTCTAACAACACAAATATATTCAGATACACTTATACGCAAACACCGTTTCCAAATGTTTATTAGTTTGGAAAAAAAATAACAAATCCCAATAATGATGATGATTATGATCCTATTTGAAGAAGAAACAAAAATAAGGCAACGTAAATTCTTTTTCTTAAAAAAAACAAAACATTTTTAACAAATGAATTGGATATTATCTTCTAAAAAAATATTTATAATGATCTAATATTTTGATTGATTAATAATAATGATATATAATAATATATTCGAAACGAGAAAAAAAAAGTATAAAAAAATTTCTAATTTAATTTTGTAAAAAAAATTTACAAAATTTTTTACAAAAATCAAACTGGCACCCGTGCTGCCATCTATCGTCGACAAAATTGTCAGTCATAAAAAAAATTTCAATTTTAATTTGACAATGGTAATAAAATGATTACTATATGGTAGATCATTATGATAATCCATTAATGATGATGATTATCCATCAATAATGATCGTTTACAACAAGGCAATATATAAAAAAAATAAACATAAAACAAACAATAAATAAATACGATATTTTGTTTTTTGTTTTTTTTTAAATCGAATCAAAATTTAGGTCAAACATGATTAAGATATCGTGATGATCATTCAATACTTCTTTTTCGTTGTTTCGTTGTTTGTTTGGTTGTTTGTCATTATTTAATAGACTCATTCATTTTTGAATGAAAAATTGGATAATAATCTTTAATGTTTAAAATTATTATTATGATGATGATCATTTAGACAAGTCATTATCAACGACAAAGTCGTATATTGATTGCGTCCATTGTGGCTTGTTTGTTTGTTTGGTTTTTTTACTTTTACCAGTATTTTTATTATCTTCAATATTCTCTGTGAAATTCTTCTTTACATTCAATGTCATCATTTATAACCAGATTATTATGTCATCACATAATGTGTTTGTTTGTTTGTGTGAATAAATGTCAAAACCGAATTATCGTCAACATTTTTTTTAAAAAATCCTGATAATAAAAAATCAATATTTTGATTGTCATCCTAAATCCAAAAATGTCTGACTGGATAATAATATCGATTGATTGATTTGTGTATTATGGATCGATAAATATTTTTAAAAATTTTTGATTTTTTGAAAATTTAAATTTTTTTTTGTTTTCCGATTCTTTGATAAACGTGTGTGGGTGTGTGGGCGTATACCGGACGACAAATTTAGCCAATAGCAAATTACATTTCAATTCTTTCACACAACGCCCCCACCTACCCACTTATCTCTTTAAATGACGCCCGTAACTAATTTTTATACCGTTAGCGAAAAAAAAGGTTACTGCTACGTCAACAAATTCTACTACTACAACTATACAAAAACAGACAGAATTAAGAAAGAAGAAGAAGAAGTGAAAAAAAGCGCAAAATTTTCCTGAATTCGAAATTGGTGTTGATGGTTGATACTTCTTTTTTTTATGGTTTCTGTTTTCTTCAATTTGTTTGTCAGATAGTGATAATGATGAGAGGATAAACTAACCATTCATTCATTCATTCATTCATTCATTATTTATTTATTATCATCATTGTGTGGCTGGTTGGTCGGTCGGTTGATTGTATTGGTGTTCTGCGTTTTGAAAAAAATTTTGAATGTTTGAAAAGATCTTGAAATGTCAAAAAAAAAGAAACAACTGTCACAACAACAATCGAATCCGATCCGATCCATGGCAAAATATCGATCATTTAATCAATCAATCAATCAATCAATGGATGAATGATATCCAAAGGGGTTTTTTTTCATTGAAAAAAAAACTTTTAAAAATTTCCCATCTAATTCCACACATACCACATCTGTGTGAAATTTATGGAAACAAAAAACAATATGCAAAATGAAGCAGAAAATTGTTTCATATCATTGAAATCCAACAAAATTCAAAGTTTTAATAGTGTGTGACATACATTGGATCGACGACAAAACAAATGAAAAAAAAACATGAAAAATAGTTTTTTGGCTACCAATATCATCATCATTATTGATTTAATGATGATGATAATAATATATTGGCAACAAACAAACATTGAAGGAATGTTCATCATCATAATTCATAATTTTCTTTCCTGTTTTCAGTTTTTCCAGTTATATCATCACTGTTGAAGAAAAAAAAATTGAAATTATTTCAATGATTTTCATTTTCATTTCGTCGTTGTTTTTTCATTACGTATATAAACCGAATGATGAACAAGANTTGTTTGGTTGTTTGTCATTATTTAATAGACTCATTCATTTTTGAATGAAAAATTGGATAATAATCTTTAATGTTTAAAATTATTATTATGACGATGATGATCATTTAGACAAGTCATTATCAACGACAAAGTCGTGTATATTGATTGTGGCTTGTTTGTTTGTTTGGTTTTTTTTTTACTTTTACCAGTATTTTTATTATCTTCAATATTCTGTGAAATTCTTCTTTTCATTCAATGTCATCATTTATAACCAGATTATTATGTCATCACATAATGTTTGTTTGTTTGTGTGAATAAATGTCAAAACTGAATTATCGTCAACGTTTTTTAAAATCCCGATAATAAAAAATCAATATTTGATTGTCATCCCACATTCAAAAATGTCTGGCTAATAATATCGATTATGGATCGATAAACAGAAATTTTTGATTTTTTGAAAATTTTGAAAATTTAAATTTTTTTTGTTTCGCTTCCGATTCTTTGATAAACGTGTGTGTGTGGGCGTACCGGACGGCCAATTTAGCCAATAGCAAATTACATTTCAATTCTTTCACACAACGCCCACACACTTATCTCTTTTCGTAACTAATTTATATACCGTTAGCAAAAAAAAAAAGTTACTGCTATCTCAACAAATTCTACTACTACACAAAAACAGACAGAATTAAGAAAAAAAAGCGCAAAATTTTCCTGAATTCGAATCGGTGTTGATGATGATGATGATGAGATAAACCTAACCATCATTCATTCATCCATTCATTCATTATTTATTATCATCATTGGTTGTGTGGCTGGTTGGTCGGTTAGTTGATTGATTTGTGTATTTGGTGTTTTGAAATGTTTTTGAAAAAATTTTGTAACGAATGTTTGAAAAAGATCTTGAAATGCCAAAAAAAAAACTGTCATAAATGTTTATGACAAACGGAAAAACAGCAACGATCGAATCCGATTCAGGGCAAAATATTGATCATTCTTTCAATCAATCAATCGATGAATGATATCTTCGGCATCCAGCAAAAAAAAAGGGTTTTTTCATTGAAAATTTCCAACAAAAAAAACTTTTTTTTCCGTCTAATTCCACACATACCACATCTGTGTGAAATTTATGGAGAAAAAAAACAATATGCAAAATGAAGCAGAAAATTTCATGTTTGTTTCATATCATTGAAATCCACCAAAATTAAAAGTTTTAATAGTGTGTGTGTGTGTGTGTGTGTGTGTGTGTGTGACATACATTGGATCGACGACAAAACAAATGAAGAACATGAAAAAAAATATGAAAAATAGTTTTTGGCTACCAATATCATCATCATCATCATTATTGATTTAATGAATGATAATAATATTGGCAACAAACAAACATTGAATTCATAATTCATAATTTTTCTTTCCTGAAATTATTTCAATAATTTTCATTTTCATTTCGTCGTTGTTTTTCATTACGTATATAAACCGAATGATGAACAAGAATTCATCATCAATAAAACCTGAATGTTTTTGTTTTTGTTTGTTTGTTTTAAAACTTTTTTCAACTTCCTTCAAAATTCTTCTTCTTCATTCATCGTCTTTCGTTCGTAGATGTTTTTCGTGAATATATGTGTGTGAATGAACCATGTTTTGGTTATTTGCTTTGTTTTTTTGTTGTTGTTTTTGTTGTCGTTAAGTGTGTGTGTGTGCTGGTGAAATGATCAATCAACCAAATGTGAAATCGTCCAATTATCATCAATTATAATGATGATGATGATTATTGTAATTAACCGCAAAAAGCAGAAAATCAAAGCAAATAAAAATTTTCTCCTTCTTCAAAACCATTGGGGAAAATTTGGGCTAAAATTAGCTGAATAAAAAGAGAATTTGAAGAAGAAAAAAAAAACAGAATCAAAAGCAAAAGAAGTAGAATAATCCGAATTCCCAATGTTCATCAACCATTTTATTTCATTTCGAATTCATCATTGTGTCATTCGTCGATGATTCTTTTCGTTTCGCTTTGGTTTTTTCGTAATTTTCTTCAACCAAACCGCACAAAATTGTCATAATAATAATCGAGAAGAAAGACGAAAAGAAAATTCTGAAATAATAAATTATCCAAGCAAAAACAAAAACAAAAAATATTCAAACGACAAATCAACCGTTCGAGAGAGATTCGTTTTGTCAAATTATAATTTTTGCTGTTGTTTTTTTTTGTTCTTCAATCCCAATCGCAAATGTGAAATTTGATTCGTTTTTCTTATTTTGTTTTTCGTTTTTTTCACACTTTCATTAGTGATGATAATGATGATGATGAAAGGATATTTAATTTCATTTTCTTTTGGTTTTTCTATCAAAATTCTCAGATTTCAAATGGAATGAATTTTGGTGAAAAAACAACGACGACCAATTCTGTTATTCATCGAATCAAGAATTTTCAGAAAATCATCAATGGAGCCATCATCATTATCAATCATCATCATCATGAATATTCTTCATGTTGTTGATGGTGAACAACAACAGTCGACTATTTCGACATCAATGATTCAAAGAAATAATGATAGTTTTGAATCAATGTTATCAACAACAACAACAACAACAACAACAACAACAACAATGTTACCATATTCATTACGTTGGATTGCAACAAATATCTGTATAATTGTTTTATTATTAGGTATTTTAGGAAATTTATTAGTACCGTTAGTTGTTTGCCGTCAACGTGAACAATTATCAAATAATTCAACAAATATTTTCCTAATCAACCTGAGTATTGCCGATTTATTAGTACTGGTTGTTTGTACACCAACCGTATTGATTGAATTACATTCAAATCCTGAAATATGGATGTTGGGTGAATTTATGTGTAAGTTTTTGATTGTTTTTGTTTTGTTATTTTATCATTTCCAAAAAACTTCAATGAAATAAAAAGAAATGGATTAAATGAACCCGGAATTCAGGATTCTCTCTCATTGTGTGTTTTGAAGAATAAGTATAACTTTTTCCATTAATTTTAACGCCTTTTTGGTTATATTTTTTCGCTCTTTTCACACACAAGAATCAAGAATTAAGTTCAGAAAAAAAACAATAAAACAATAGACAATAGTTCAACAGAAGTGTAATTGAGAATTGTTATTTTGTTTCGTTTTACAGAATATTCTGTATTCAGTATTTAATTTTTTTTGTTGTAAATTTTAAACTTCTTTTTTTTATATGTTTTTCAACATTCCGGTAATTGTTTTCTCGACAAATTAAATGATTTGTAATCCCGACAAACAAACAAACATTGTTTCGACTCAATTTTTTTTAAATGTCTGTGTGGATTTAGATTCTGTTTAAAAAATGTTGCTGATGTTTTGATGTTTTTGATGATGATAATGATGGGTGATTAACACAAACATCAATGTCTCGTTTGTTTTTGTTATTTTTGTTTTTTTTTTTTGGCAAAAAACAAAAACAGAAACCAATCTTGTCAACAAAACTTAGAAAAAAAGAACAAACAAAAACAANCAAACATTGTTTCGACTCAATTTTTTTTAGTTAAATGTCTGTGTGGATTTAGATTCTGTTTAAAAAAATGTTGCTGATGTTTTGATGTTTTTGATGATGATAATGATGGGTGATTAACACAAACATCAATGTCTCGTTTGTTTTTGTTATTTTTTGGCAAAAAACAAAAACAGAAACCAATCTTGTCAACAAAACTTAGAAAAAAAGAACAAACAAAAACAAAAACAAAAACAAAAACAAAACAATAAAACGAGATTCACTATGAGAGTCAATGTTCTTTTCTTTTTTTCCTCGTCGTTGTTTTTGCTGTTTTGGTGAATGCATAAACATTTTCAAGAATTGAGAGAGAGAGAAACGTTGGTTGGTTGTTAGGTTGGTTAAATGAATGGAAACAAAACAACGAAAAACGAAAAACAGAATATTTCGGTTCAACGATTCTGTGTGTGTTTGGTGAATCTCTTTAAAAACATAGTGTGTGTGTGGGTGTTTGACTTCGAAACTCATCATTTTTTGTCTACTTTTTTTTTCGTTTCCACCACGACTTTAAAGAATCACGAAGAAAAAGAAGAAAAAAAACAAAGAATTTTACAATGGAAAAAAAATGACATGAATTTACAGTCTGCACTAAGTATGTGCATGTGAATAAATCATTTTCATATGATGTAAATTCCATCATTTTTATTCTTTGTTTCCTTGTTTGGTTACTTTTCTTTCTTCTTCTTCTTCTTTTTTCTTGGAACGTGATAAATTTTTATTCATAAGAATCATAAAGAAGAAAATTTGAAGAAAATTGATTGATTGATTGATTGCGAAAAGAAAAATTTTCGTTGTTGTTGTTTATACTTGGTACAAACGATGAATGTTTATGTTTTTTTTTTGTTGGTTGGCTAAAGTGTGAGATAATAAATCAAACAAATCAATCGCAATTGACTAAATGATTGTAAACATTTTTTGGACAAAATAGAAAAACAAACAAAAACAAGAAAAAACTTTGATAAAAGAAATAAAATTCAATGTTTTTAGTTTGGTTTTTCGGTTTTTCTGGTTTTCTGGTTTTCTTCCTTCGGATACGGCAGATTCTTGGGGGTGTTTTTTTGATGTTGGTGGGGAAATATTTCAGAATTTTTTTCCTGAAAAAAAAATTCTAAAAAGAATTTCTGAAAAAGTTTTTCAGAAAAAAAAGAAATAAAATTCCTTTTCAACAATAGAAAAATATGAAAAAAAAGGATTATTTTCAAATGTTTTTTTCGTTCTGTTGTTTTGGTAGAGAAATATGATTCCTTGAAAGAAAAAGATGATGATGGACATCATCATCTTTGTCGTTTGTTGTTGTTGTTGTCGCTTGTTGTTGTTGTTTTCGTCATTCATTCATTTTTTTCAAATGTTTCCTGAAAAAACAACAACAACAAATCGACGTTGACATTATATTTATGAAGAAAGAGAGAATTCCTTCTTTTTTTACATTTTGACAACAACAACAAAGAAATGAATTCTTGAATCTTTTCTTCGCTTGCCTGATTTTTGTTGTTGAAAGAATGTTTTTTTTTATTGTCACTACAAATTTATGAATCTATCCTATAATGATTCTGGATTGAAAATGAAAATGAAAACAAGGAATCCAAAAAACCAGAAAAGAGAAAAGAAGAGAAATTTCCGCTTGTTTCTTTGGATTTTCCATCCAGCAAAAAAAAAAAACAAAACTTACCAACCAATTTTCACTAGCTGTCGAATGTCATTCACATCAAACAAATTATTATTACGAAAAAAATAAAACAAAACAAAANCTTCTTCTTCATTTTTTCTTGGAACGTGATAAATTTTTATTCATAAGAATCATAAAAAGAAGAAAATTGATTGATTGATTGATTGCGAAAAGAAAAAATTTTCGTTGTTGTTGTTTATACTTGGTACAAACGATGAATGTTTATGTTTATGTTTTTTGGATGGCTAAAGTGTGAGATAATAAATCAAACAAAAATCAATCGCAATTGACTAAATGATTGTAAACATTATTGGGACAAAAGAGAAAAACAAACAAAAACAAAAACTTTGATAAAAGAAATAAAATTCAATGTTTTTTTTGGTTTTTTGGTTTTTCTGGTTTTCTCCCTTTGGATATGGCAGATTCTTGGGTTTTTTTTCGATGGTGGGGAAATATTTCAGAATTTTTTTTTTGAGAAAAATTCTGACAAGAATTTCTGTAAAGTTTTTTAGAAAAAAAAATAAAATTCCTTTTCAACAATAGAATGTGAAATGAAAGGATTATTTTCAAATGTCTTTTTTTTCGTTCTGTTGTTTTGGTAGAGAAATATGATTCCTTGAAAGAAAAATATGATGATGGACATCATCATCATCTTTGTTGTTGTTGTCGTCATTCATTTTTTTCAAATGTTTCCTGAAAAAACAACAACAACAACAAATCGACGTTGACATTATATTTATGAAGAAAAAAAAGGGAATTCTTTTTTTACATTTTGACAACAACAACAACAACAAAGAAAGAAATGAATTCTTGAATCTTTTCTTCGCTTGCCTGATTTTTTGTTGTTGAATGAAAGAATTTATTGTCACTATACAAATTTATGAATCTATCCTATAATGATTCTGGATTGAAATTGGAAATGAAAAACAACAAGGAATCCAAAAAACCAGAAAAGAAAAGAAGAGAAATTTCCGCTTGTTTCTTTGGATTTTCCATCCAGCAAAAAAAAAAAACAAAACTTACCAACCAATTTTCACTAGCTGTCGAATGTCATTCACATCAAACAAATTATTATTACGAAAAAAATAAAACAAAACAAAACAACGAAATTGAATGATTTGTGAACATCTTGTGAACAATTCAGCCCAAAATCAAACCAACCGAAAAACAGATTTTTTTCATTTACAGAATTAACAGAATTTTAGATCATCCCGATCATCATCATCGACAACAGAATCGCAGATTTATCCATTCTGTAAATGAAAGAATCATGTGAGCGATGAGCAAGAGAGAGAGAGAGAGAGAGAATAAATGAATGAAACATTTTCATCATAAATAAACTTAAGGATGATGATGATGATGAATTTCTTTTGAGTGGTTGAAAATCGACAATAATCAACCAATATTACAAATGGAATTGACTAAACACTTTTATCGATTCTTTTATTCAATACGGGAAAAGAAGAAGAATATTCTTTCTTTTTCAAAACACTTACACACACACACACATAAAACCCAAAAGATGAAAAATTATTCTTTTCCTTTTCTTTTTGATTATTGTCATTCTGTATGTGTGTGTGTGTGTGTGTGTGTGTATTATTAATAGCCAATCAGAATGATGAAAAAAAAGATGTTT